TACGCGAGTGACCAAATACGAAAAAAATGCGCGAGTGAACCAAATACGAAAAAAAATACGAGAGTGAATCAATTACGAAAAAATACGATAGTGAATCAAATACAAAAAAATGCGCGAGTGAACCAAATACGAAAACAATGCGCGAGTGAACCAAATACGAAAAAATACGAGAGTGAATCAAATACAAAAAATACGCGAATGAATCAATTACGAAAAAATACGAGAGTGAATCAAATACAAAAAAATACGCGAATGAATCAATTACGAAAAATACGAGAGTGAATCAAAGACAAAAAAATGCGCGAGTGAACCAAATACGAAAAAAACGCGAGTGAACCAAATACGAAAGTGAACATATCGCAACTACTGGTTTTCTTCTTCGATCGTTGGACCATTCAATTTACTGTACCTTAGTCGTACTTTTGCCATAGAGCGGAGATCCTTCGTTTGTGTGGTACGCGGCCCTCTGGTCTTTTCTCTGGTACGGTTTGCTGCTCTTGTCAAGTTGGCTGGGACAGATAAACTATAGGGTGGGTCTTCGGGATGCACATTCTTCGCCATAATCTCCTTCACGATGTCAGCGGATGAACGAAAAACAGTTTCCCTGGCTATCTTTTTTACTTCTACAATTGTTCTCATTCTTTTGGCCGTACCGGGTTCACCTGCATGGTTATGTGCATGTAATCCTCTTGTGAAGTTATCCCCCGACTGGGACATCGAAGCACGACACTGTATACGGGAGGTTCGCTGGCTGCATCTCCATGCTGTAACCGTCCTATTCTTCGTTGATTTAGAGTGGTAGGAGTAACCGCTACTGTCAGTTAGCATACTAGTAGTTTTCCCTCGTTTCGATGCTCCTTCCACGAGTTCGTATGTAACGCGATGCTCTTCTAACGTGATTTCGTCTCGTAAGTCGGCTTCGTAGTCGAAGGTGACATCGGGATCCGGTTGCTGGTTTTCGTAGGAGACTTCTACACTAAATGAGTCGTGGTCTAAATACATTGGTTCGTCTCGGGTGTTGTCGGGTGTCCTGTCGGGTGTGGTCTCGTCTTCATGGTGGTCGTTGTCTTCGCGGTCTAAAATCATTGGTTCGTCTCGAGTGTTGTCGGGTGTGGTCTCGTCTTCATGATCGGATGGGAGTACATCTTGATCGTGATCACCATTGTACAGTCGCACATATGGTAACCGTTTACAATCAGCACAAAACCAGTATACCTCTGCTTCTTGGCGCCTCAGTTGTCTGTAGAATGCTTGAGTTATACCCGAGTTGCATGTGTGGTGCTGACATCTATCACACCGGTCACACGCCAAAGCTTGCTGCAGACCACGAACTTGTAGCGAACATACAACACAAGGATCTGTAACTTCTGACATAATAATGATCGTATTGGTTAATCAAATGCGAAAAATTACGCGAATGAACCAAATACTAAAAAAAAAAATGCGCGAGTAATTTAAATTTGGAAAAATACGCCAGTAATATAAGGATATATAAATACGAAAACATGCGGGAGTGAATCAAATACTAAAAAATGCAGGAGTGAACCAAATGCTAAAAAATGCGCGAGTAAATCAAACACAAAGAAATGCGCGGATAACTAAAAAGCAGTGACGAGAAAATATAATCAAAATCAAAATCGATAAGGTAATAAGGATATATAAATCAGGAGATAGAAATTCTGCAGTTAGGATATACCTTGGCTGTGATCAGAATGAGATTAATTGGCTTGGTGGTCCTTATTTATGGTGTTATTATGAATAAAAATTCACACATTTATATGTGTTAATTTCCGACCCAATTATGTAAAAGTCACGGTACGGTACAGTAACTAATGAAAATACTGTAAAAAGCTTTAGTTTTGCTGATGAATTTTTTCGCGTATTTTGTATGGAATTTATTTTCATGGATTTTTGACTGGCCCAATGTAAAATAAAAGAACGGAGATAATGTCCGTTTTATGAAAGTGCCGTTTATCGTCCACAAAATAGCTATCGCATCACGACTAAATGCCCACCCACCCCACATCGATGCTTGCTGGTGTTCGATTGTCCCCTAAGGGAATATTGATAAGGGGAAAGGACAATAGTCATACAGTTATGTAAGCATAGTTTTTCGCGACCCAGGTGAAATGAACCGTGCGAAGTTCAATACTATTCCTATTTCTGTTAGACGTAATGTTTTGCCACACAACGGTTACAAGTTCGAAATGAAGTCGCATTCGAAGAAAAAGTATTGTAAGACGAGGCAGGTTTCATTTAACTTGTTTGGAAACAGTATCTCGTCGCCGATTTTAACATTATCTAGCCAAGACTGTCTGGATAAAGAAAAAGCAAACCTGCTTCAATACCTTAAATACTGACAGTAAATAATTATAAGCATGCAATTCTTGCAATGTGGGTTTATTAGTCAATAAATATAATTATGATATGCTTGTAATGAAAATAGTAGCGTATATTGCGTTTAGTTTTGAACACAGCTCATTATCACGCCGGTAAGTTCAAATATTCACACGTAGTACAATGACTTACACTGCGCTTAGTTCTGAATACAACGGATTATCATGCCGGTAAGTTCAAATATTCACAGGTAGTAAAATTACTTACACTGCGCTTAGTTCTGAATACAATGGATTATCACGCCGGTAAGTTCAAATATTCACACGTAGTACAATGACTTGCATTGCGTTTAGTTTTGAATACAACAGATTATCACGTCGGTAAGTTCAAATATTCACACGTAGTACAATGACTTACACTGCGCTTAGTTCTTAGTACAACGGATTATCACGCCGGTAAGTTCAAATATTCACAGGTAGTACAATGACTTACACTGCGCTTAGTTCTGAATACAACGGATTATCACGCCGGTAAGTTCAAATATTCACAGGTAGTACAATGACTTACACTGCGCTTAGTTCTGAATACAACAGATTATCACGCCGGTAAGTTCAAATATTCACACGTAGTACAATGACTTACACTGCGCTTTGTTCTGAATACAACGGATTATCACGCCGGTAAGTTCAAATATTCACACGTAGTACAATGACTTACATTGCATTTACTTCTGAATACAACGGATTATCACGTCGGTAAGTTCAAATATTCACAGGTAGTACAATGACTTACACTGTTTATAGTTCTGAAGGCGACTCATTATCACGCCGGCAAGGCTAGGATTGGAGATGAGCAGTTTTAATTACTCTGCCCTTGAGAACTTGTCATCATCATGTGATATAGACTCATAGTTGTTACAATGGTAGTTGACAGTTTCCATGGCTAAAGTTGGGCCCAAAGTGGCAGAATGTAACTTAAACTGAAAGAGTGTCCAATATCAAGTTTACTCAGTACAGTATCAAAGGTCTGTTTCATACATGCAGACAAACAAGGTATTTTACACTTGTCGTGTACATTGCTATGAGACTGATATCGAACAGGACACGGCAAGACAGCCACCACCCTTTGAGTAATCAGATCTGTCAGTCATTCCAGTACATCTATGTACGAAATATAACGAATGGTTCTCGACATTCTGTGAAACATGCATTTACATGGAAGTCGAAATGACTGTATTATAAAATTATTCATACCTTCTTGAAAATGACTGTATTGGGATAGAAACACTCTAAATTATAATGATGAAAGAATTAGCTCAATCGAATAATGTTGTCATGCAGATCAATTGGCAACCGTTCCCGACTTTATATGCAAAACAAGAATGCTGAGAAAACAAGTATTTTTTTTTATAAAATAAATAGGGTTTATTTATTAAGTACTGATTACTAATATATACAATGTACAATAATTACAGACAATTAAATTATTGATTAATAATAAAATCAAAACTTACTAATGTTGTAAGTAATGGTACATGGGTGACTTGCATTCATGGCAATCCCAATTCAAGAGTGAATGATTTCAGTAAAGTCTATTGCAATTGTTACAGATATACATAAACTTAAATGTCGAAAAACTGGTGATTTATTATGAGATTTGTTTCAATTTTATTCAAATGTTCTACAGTTTCAGTTTTATTTGAGATAAATAAAGGCAGTGAATATCCCTAGTATGTTTCTGTGAAATCTCTGACTTTTCAATGAGTCATGCGCTCTAGCCACAAGCACTGTAAAAATTACACAGATGGGCAAAAGAAATTGTAAGTTTTGCTTATCATAGCAAATTGCTTGAAAAACGTATTTGAATGACAAATGACGATAAAATGATAGCAGCTGCGAATGACCTTCCTTTCACCTACCTACGTCACTGAAGTGACAAGTCACTAGACGGTGCTTCTTACACTAAAGGTTTATTCTATTGAGGTTGGTTTTTCTGAGCAATAGTTCTTATTGGCTTTTCCATGGATGGGTGATACAATTTATTGTTGAAGGTAGGAGGGGGGGGCTGAGTTTAATAATGTGTCAATGATTTCTGTGGATGACTATGTATAACGACACCTTGTTGCTGTAGTTCTTCCATCACTTGCAGTAGAGTGTCTAGCTCAGTTCGGAATTTCTGTAATTCAAGGTTCTTGTCTCGAAGCTGTTGTTTAAAATACTGTAACTCTTCCTCTTTCTGTGCTGTTGCTGCTAAGCTTGCTTTTTCAACAATCCCCTTCAGTTCTTGCTCTCGCACTACATGTCTGCAATGAGAAAAGAAAGCAACATTGACACCATATTTACTTATGCGCTTATGTAAATGGACAGGGGTGTGTTTATGATCCAACTAAATTATATTTAAAGATCCAGCAAATCCACAATACTGTATTTGTTTTATTAGAAGTGCACCAACAATAAACGTGTGTATAAACCAAAATACTAGTAGAGCAAATACCTTACAGTAATTTTACTGTAAACCCCAAATTCTCACAAATTAGTTTTACAAGTGTGGAAAAATCATATATTCTTGTACAGTGAACATTTCACAGGGACACACGAGTCATAGTAAATTTTGTGTAATTCGAATCCAATTCAAGATGTAGCTATTTCAGCAATAAGTCTTTCCTTACGATATGCAAGGTTGTACCAACTGAGCCAAATTCATTAAAAGCATGTGTAGCTAATTCCAATGTGGTATATACATGTACAAGTGTCATACAACAAACTTAAACAACAAAATGTTTATTTTAGATCATAAAATTCTCACCCACAAATTTTAAAGCATTTTTATCTGTGTGTGAAAGCGAAATACACTTTCACTCTGGAGTTGAAAAGTGTTACGTCAGCCCATCGTCAATAATTTTACAGTGACGAATAAATCATGAACATTTGCCATTCACCTTTTGAAGAAGTTAATAATAATAATGAAACTTACCTGTTTTCAAGACCTTCAATCTTGGATTGCAGGGCTTCAAAATGCTTCATGGCCTGCAATGAAGGAAATATGCAAGATTAATTTTCTGTATTTGACACGTTTTTGAGATTTGTGCCAATTTGATCTCTGAACACTTCACATAGATCTAGTATCGGTCTTTATTTAACAAAACCAATGGATATTAATTGAAGAACTATTTATTTTGCAAAACATATATATGAACAAACATCTCAATGGAAAAAATACAATTCACAAACACATCAACAGATGAATAGGTTGATGCGCTGACACGAATTGTACTCACAGGCGTGTGATGTTTCTTTGCTTCTTTTAACTCATCTGATAACAAATAAATGTTCTGTTGTAATGCTCTCTCTCGGATCTCGGCAGCTTTCAACCTTTCTGCTTCCTGTTTATAATGACTGAGTTGTTCCTTAAGATGAGTTATCATAACCTAGCAAGATAAAATAATCACTTATATTAGAATAAAAGAATATATGTAATGTGTTGTATTTGGAAATATTAGCCTACACAGATGGTGATTGCCTGAAACTTTTCTTTGCCATTTCAGAAAAAAAATTGTATAAATTACTCCAAGCATCAACTGATCGTGTCTAATCCGTCTCTGTGAGAGGTGAATTTGAATATTCAAACATTATCGAAAATGACTTAAGTATTGAAGGTCTTATTATGAAATGAACAAATCTGAAGGTGATTATACACAAAGTATCTGCGCAATTGAGCTGGTAGTTTTTAGGAAGAAGATGAAAATAACTAAAAATGACAGAAATATTTGTTAAACACAGAGAATTAAACAAAATTACGAAATGACAAATATAACAGAGGTCCACCAAAGGTACCTATCGGTACATATCAAGTATCAGAGTAATTGGGCTGGTAGTTTTCAAGAAGAGGGAAACTGAATAAAATATTGTTGATGGAATGACAAATGATAGACTAATCACTAATATCACTTTGATGACAGGAGAGCTAATAACAAGCAGCCTGTCGGCTGAGATAGCTCCGCTGTTAGCAATGCACATGGCAATTAAAGAACAGAAGATATCATTAGAAAATGAACAAATTTGAGAGAGGTCCACATGTAGTACCTATATGTATAATATATCAAAGCAATTGGACTTGCGGTTTTCAACAAGAAGTCGAAAATATCACTTTTTACCAAAAATTACAAAAATATTCATCAAAATTAGAGAATTAAAGATATCATCATGAAATGAACAAATCTGAGAGAGGTCCACATGTAGTACCTATATATGTAATATCAAAGCAATTGGACTTGCGGTTTTCAACAAGAAGTCGAAAATATCACTTTTTACCAAAAATTACAAAAATATTCACCGAAATTAGAGAATTAAAGATATCATTACAAAATGAACAAATCTGAGAGAGGTCCACATGTAGTACCTATATATGTAATATCAAAGCAATTGGACTTGCGGTTTTCAACAAGAAGTCGAAAATATCACTTTTTACCAAAAATTACAAAAATATTCACCAAAATTAGAGAATTAAAGATATCATTACAAAATGAACAAATCTGAGAGAGGTCCACATGTAGTACCTATATATGTAATATCAAAGCAATTGGACTTGCGGTTTTCAACAAGAAGTCGAAAA